CCCCAAAACCCCAAAACCCCAAAACCCCTTGAAAAACTATCAAAGAGATTTTTGAAATTCTTGAAGTAAAGGGTGAAATTATAGTCATATTTTAGTAAAATTTCGAAATATAGCCTTTATTCATTAGTTCTTGTATAGATTTTACAATATTTGCTGCTCTATTAACAATCAGCACATTCACACTCTGTCTTAATGTGGTCAATGCTCAGTTATCATTTGATTTCCTAGTTCGTAGCCCTTTTCAATATCCTAGTTTCAGGAAAACTTTAGGAAACTAAACAATTTGTCCTTGCAACCCTTAGTTTATTTTGGCTTTTTATTCTTAGCTATAGATTTATCAGTTCCTTAACTCTTGGATCTATGCCTTCTTCTGGAAGTTGAACTCCTTGAGTGACTTGTATTAGCCTTAGTGTTTTGACTTTAACTGTCATCATCAAACATTAAACTATCTTCATCTGATTTGATCTCTTCTGACAAGTTATCTTCATCACCATCAGAATCGCTATCATCAAATTCATCGCCATCATTAGTTGAGCCCTTACTGTTATTTTTACTATCTATCAAAATGTAAATAAAAGAATTTAATACTTTTAGATTTGCTGTCAACTACATCCCAGCTTGCTTGCTTATCATTTGGATCTTGCTAAGGTGTAACTATGAGATATTTTTTGGGGACTATACAGTGGAAAAATGAACCCACATAGGCTATCCTGTTTAGGTGACGAGGAAGTCCTCTACCAATCAGAAGGACTAGGAATTCATGAGTAAAGTGATTGCAATTCTACTTAAGCATATCATATTGATTAGCTTTGAATTTCTTCATCATTTTAGATAAGGAACTCCATATTATATCTTCTCTTTCAACTTCCCCTACAAGAATGCTATCTTTAAACATGAAAACATCATGCTGTTTAGGAATCATTTCGTATACCCCAGTACTATCCAGTAAAGAATTGCCTCCATAAGCATACTCGCTTCCATTTACTTCAATCCCTATTAATAATACAATGAATCAATTTAATATAGAAATACTCACCTGTATGATAAACTCCAATTCCAGCACAGTCAACATACTTATTGTACTTGATGATGTCGTAGACATTTACATAGACTTTCATTTTATGGAAGAAGTATTAATAACTATTAAACAAACAACTAAATTTACTTATTCTTAGCTACGTATTTCATCAGCAATTTTGATTGATGGGGTTTTGGGGTTTTGGGGTTTTGGGG